CGAATTACGAAACTCTTGTTTGATGTAGAAAAACGAGGGCAAGACGTTGAAACTGCTCTTAAAACTACGTGTTTCCCTGGCCCAAGGCGAGAATCGTTACCTACCTACAATGGAGCTCCCAATCCAGACTTGGGTGCACCAATTGCAGAGGCGGAAGTTTGGGCTGCCCTAAGCAAACTTCGCACCACATCCGCTCCAGGACTAGATGAAATGACTAACAAGACACTCCGAAATTTAGACTCCAAGTCAAAGGCAGCTCTTACCGATTACATGAATCAACAATGGGAGCAGGGTACGCTGTCCCAGGAATGGAAATCAGCTAAGGTGACTTTCATACCCAAACATAATAAGCCGTTCGACCTTAATAATTTGAGACCGATCTCTCTTATCTCATGTACAGGAAAACTGACTGGAGCATGTAATTCTCAATCGTCTTAATCGCTACATGGAACAAGAAAAACTGTTTGCCTCCACCATGTACGGCTTTCGAGCGGGACTCTCCACTCAGGATGTCATGCTGCAGATTAAGGAGGACGTGCTAATGCCTACTTTTCCACACATCACTAGAGCTATCCTTGCATTGGACCTGACTAGGGCTTTTGATAATGTCTCTTACCCCTCGATTTTACAATTTCTTGGTGAACTAAACGTAGGCTCTCGCACGCACAGGTATGTCTCTGCCTTTCTCAGCAACAGGTCCGTCCGCCTACAATTGGGCACTTTCAAAACCGATCCCTTCACGCTAGGTAGCAAGAGAACGCCCCAGGGATCGGTTTTGTCCCCGTTCCTTTTCTAACGTTACTCACATACCACTAGCGCGAGAACTTGCCAAACTTTCTTCGATCAATCACTCTTTGTTGGCGGATGACATCACCATCTGGGTCAATGCTGGCAACCATGGCAAAATTGAATCGAAGCTCCAGTTAGCCGCTGACATTGTTGTTAAACACGCCAACAATATTGGGCTCACCTGTTCGGCGGCTAAATCGGAGCTTCCTAGTAATTGACTTTAAAAAGCAAGATACATGTCGCTTTCAAGTCATGCTTGATGACACCCCTATTCGCAGGGTCAATAAAATCAATAATTTAGGCCTTAATATTTCCGACAATGGTTCGAACGCTGACACCATAAAGTTAATCCGTACTTCAGTTCATAATACAGCTTCCCTCATTAAGCGCATATTCAATCGTCATCGCGGCATGAGGGAAGCAGACACACGCCGCCTCATACAGGCCTTTTGCCTATGCAGAATTACCCATTCTATCCCCTACCTCTATCTCTCACCCACGGAGACCAAGCAACTTAACAGACTCATTCGTACTGCCTATAAAACTGCGCTCCATCTCCCTAAATCAACAGCCACGGATAAACTACTTCAACTTGGTGTGCACAACACTCTGGGAGAGCTTATAGAGGCGCATCTTTTCAGCCAATATCAAAGACTAACACTCACAGAAACAGGACAGGTACTCCTGCGCCGACTTGGAATCAACGTTCCTGGTCACACCACGGTCACGCACGCAGTTCCCGTCACTGTTAGCAGCAACCTATTAATCCCGCCACTCCCCAAAAATACTCACCCAGAACACAATCAGGCGCGACGGGAAGCTCGAGCCAAGTCCCTTCAGAAGCGCTTCCCTCCTAATTCTCCCGCAGTCTATGTAGACGTGGCCGAATATGTAGATCATCGAGCTTTCGCGGTAGCCGTTGTAGACAGATTTCAAAAACCTGGTCGCTAGTGCGTCCCTTCCAAATTAGACAGAATCCCTGGAAGCAGAGGAGGCGGCAATTGCTTTAGCCATTGTTCACTCCTCCGCGGAGTATATTTTTTCTGATTAAAAAACTGCAATTCGTAATTTCGACACTTTCCAAATTCATTCTCCGGCTGCTAAAATTCTTGAATCATCTCTTCCGCCTGATCACCTCATCACCCTCCTCTGGGTCCCTGCGCACTGTGGACACCCAGGCAACACGGCCGCTCACACCGAAGCCCGAGCACTCGCCAACCGGGCTCACAGCGACCTGCCTTCCCTTCGAGGTGCCAGGGATCGACTCCTCAGCTATCACGTTATTTTACCGAAATTCCCGCCTAGCGTATCCCCCGCCACATAAATCTCTTTCTAGAGGTGACCAGGCTTTGAGGCGCAGACTACAAACGGCCACAGTGACGACTACTTTTCTTCTCCCCTTTTACACATGGCGAAACCTCGCCTAATTGCAACTTAAGTCCTAGCACCAGAGCCAACTTCCAGCACATATTTCTGAATTGTCCAAACTAACCCAAGCCCCCGTGTAATGGGTCAGAACACCAGGAGCGAAGGGAGGCTGCTCTGCGCAGCTCGCAACCGGGTTTACAGCTTCGGACAGGGAGCTGGGCCAGAAGGGTCGCTCAAGCACAGCAGTGTCCGGCCACCTAGAGCGGCCCGAGGGCTCGTCGTCATCCTGATTCCACTTCCCCTACCCCCCCCCTCAAATGATTCCGTCGTGAAACAGTTGATTACCTACCTACCTACCTTAAAGAAGCTCTAGTGAAAATCACCTCACGTGTGTCCTCCTGTGCAGGTGCTCTTGAAGCGAAAAAGCATGCACGTTTTCTATATTAAATGAGTGTTGGCCATTCGCCGAAACTCCACGCACATTGCCTGAGTCATCCTAATGGCAGGCTACGTCCGCATAGCTGTATAGCGAGCATTTTCGATAGAGGCGAAAATGTTGTAGTCTCGTGCTCAGATTTGGGTCCACGTTAAATAACCCCAGGCGGTCGAAATTTCCGGAGCCCTCAGCTACGGCATCTGTAGTAATCATATGGTAGTTTTGGACGTTAAACCCCATATATCAATCAATCAAGCTGTGCAGCTGGACACTCAACTAAAACCGTCTCCCACCGACGTGATGAAACTCGCACTGAGTGCTAAGCGTCCGCACCACTAGATAAGAATGCAGTAGGGCCAGTTGAATTTTCCTGCGCCAAGTGACACGCCCGAATCCTCCCGTTCACACCACTAGGATGTTCGTTCGAGACTTCTAGTATGGTCCCTAAAATACATATTCTAGCGACCCTACTTCTAGTTCACTACGCTACCAACTGTACTCGTTGACCTGTCCTGGGGGGTTCGCTTGAGAGCGCGTGTCCCCACTCTCGTTCAAAAACCCACTGTTGATGGTGCTACCTATACCCTGCTCGTCTTATGCTCTACGGCTGTTCGGATGGTGCTAGAGTAAGGGCGCCTGCATTCTGTGATGAACTGCTGGCATATAAGTGGCTAGTTCTTTATTCAGATGGCTGATCAGGTAAGCTGCTCAGTGCGTTCAAGTATATATTGCACACTGGTTGACAAACGTGGGAACCCGTAGACTACATGTATGTAGAGCGATCCATTGTAGGACAACCTATGTGGTGGGCGTCCATTTAATTGCAAAGAATTTTCGAATGAATTTTGGTACATTTATTTTCAAAATAATATTTTTTTATAACGATTGCATTGTGAGGGCTCTGTTGGCCAAAATATGACCACAAACGCTGAAAGTGACGTGAGTGAACATGTGTTGAAAGCGCCACGCTGCTCATTGGTTGCGCCCCTAGCAGCAGAAGGTACAAACTAGACGTCGACGTTGGAGAGGCACTATCTGGGCAGGTCCAGAGTGCAGTAGGTCATGGTTCACTATACCCTCTACCGGCACTGCAGCGTCATAAAACAAGAACAAAAGTGTACACTTTTGGACCATGTCATTTCAATATTTATGAGATAATATATCTATGTGACCTATTTTATTAAGTTGTAAGGAATTAGTTTGTACAAAAATATTAAAACATTTCTCTATATGGCTGTGAAAATCTTGAAGGCTAAGCTGCTGTGTTCTGGAAAGGATTGAGGCTCAAAAAGGTAGTAAAAAATTGTAGAAAACACAATTATACACGCAGTCTAATAATTAAAAAAAGACAAAAAGTTGTATTGTACTAGCGGCTTTAAATACAACTAAAAACAATGCCATCTCTGTACTAGATCTCCCTTTGACACCATGTACGTATGGCCTTAGAGATTGCAAACGTTATTGGTTGAGTGAGTACTTCGTAGAGATATGATACTGACAAAGCGTATGTTATTGCCTTTCGTGAACGCCACCGTAACTCGTGACTGTTTTTTTTGTTGACCAGTGGCTATAGGTTTTAAATACCACTAGAAAACAATTCTTTGTTCATTACGTTTCTCAAAAGTTATAAATGTGTTGCCGCAGAGGTTGCAAGCGTTAGATAAGGCATTAACTTTGTAGATAAATGACACTATAATTTTTGAAGCGTATGCTAGCGCCCTCGCACGAACGTGGTCAGAACCAGGGTTTCTTTGTTCATGACCTACTACACTCCTGACCTGTTCAGATAGCGGGGTTCCTATGGGAGCGCGTGTCCCCGCTCTCGTTCAATCGCTCGCCGTAGGTGGCGCTACCTATAACCTGTTCGTCTGCTTCTTTACGGTTGTTTTGTAGGCGCTGGTATAAGAATGCCTGCTTTCTGTGGTGAACTGTCGGCATATATGTGACTATTTCTTCCCATACATTGCTGGTCAAGTAAGCTGTTCAGTGCGCTTAAGAATTTATAGCACACTGGTTGACAAACGTGGAAACCCGTGGATTTACATGATTTTGGACAGCCTATGCGTTGTCGCGTGCATTTTATTGCAAAAAAAATTCTGAATGTCTTTTAGTATTATTATTTCTGGATATTTCTAAATTGTGGATCATAAATTCGCACTACGAGTGCTTTGTTGGTTAAAATTTGACTACAAAGAGTGAAGGTGACGTCAGCGAACAGGTGCTGCCTAGCGCCACGCCGCTCGTAGGTGACGGCCCTAGCGGCAGAAGGTATGAACTAGAACGTGGGCGCTGGAAGAGGTGCTCTCTGGGCAGGTCAGGAGTGTAGTAGGTCATGTCTTTGTTCGCCTGCGACTCGGCTTGGCTCGCGCGTGCATCCACCGACTCGGCTCACTTTCTCTTTCTATTTTGCCTTCCTCCTCGTCGCGAGCTTCTGCGTCGGCCGCCGCCGCCGCTCCCGCAGCAACGAACGGCCAGCAGCAGCGAGCGGTGGACGAAAAGCTCGCCATGCGAGGTGGGATACTTCGGGCACCGGGGCTAGCCTCCGGTGGGCTAGGCCGGCGCTAGGTCCGTGCATTTCCCACGCCGAAATACGCGCGCCGCCAGCTTCGTCCTTCCCCCTTTGTGAGCCTCGCTTTGTCGCAGCCACCGCGGAGAAGAAGCGGCGTCCAGCAAGCCACCACTGCTGCCCGCAGCGCCACCGAGGGGGCAGCACTTTCCTTTATTTTTTTTGCCCTTCCGCTCAGAGGGGGGGTCCCAAACAAACATGGTGGACGTTTGGGATGTCCGCACTCAGCTGCTAAATTATTTTCACTCGCATCCCGGCGAAAATGTGCGCACCGTGGACCTTTGTCGCGTAATCAAGCAACCCAAGAAGACAATCAACAGTGTGCTCTACCGACTGCAAAGGGACGGCGTGCTGCAGAAAGTGGTCGAAAGTCCGCCGACATGGAGGGAAGCTGGATCGGCTGGTAGTCGCATTGAACAGCAATACTCGATCGGCTATCCGAACGACGGAGCCGCGGTAAGTGTGTACGCGGTGACCCGCTTTCTTTCGTTGTTTTTGCTCGGTTACGCCGTCCGCGAGGCCTGTGGTAGCACGCCGGCGTTGAAAAAGTTCCTGACCGGCAGGACTGGGGGGACGCGGACGGCGCAAGCAGCGAGTGTCACCGGGCGCTTTTGTCTGATGCCTTCTTTCGCCGGAGAAAGCGTATCACTGCCGGCACTTTCGCGGCGTCAACTTTGACGCGGCTAGCCTACATTTCCCGAAACCTCGTGCCCGTCTCCCGATCGGGCCGTGGCGACGAGATTTTCGTGCCGTGTAAGGGTTTTTTCATTCTTTGTTTCTTTCCTCCCCTCCGTCTGACGTTCATCTGGGCCGTTGCCGAGCGCGCAGGCAGGCAGGCCAAGCGGGCTCCGCTCTCCTGGCTCCGAAAAATCGATGAATGGAATCCTCCCTTTCTCCCACCCGGCCGTTTCGTGCCTTAATGTTTTGGATGGAGTTCTCTCGTCGGCGCGCGTCCCTGTTTGCGATATTGTCGAGCTAACCGTCCCACCCTACCGTCGTTACTTTTCTCGGAGTCGTCCGTCGTACCGATATGCCCGAGAACCTTGTTCGCGACGCTGACGCTACATTCTGTACGAACAACGTATTCTCTTTTGTTTCTTTTCACACCCCCCCCCCCCCCCCTCTAGGGGAAACGCTCGCTCCGGTTTTGCCACTCGCGACAGCTGGCTGTCCGTCCCAGTGGCGAGCCTCCTTTGTCGATATCGGTTCCTTTGTGGTTGCGCGTGTGGGATCGACCGGCGATCAAAATATAAACAAACGGCTGTAGTAGTACGTGCGCACATCTGACTTGACGTGCGCATTGACATATCCCCTGCAACATCGCGGACAAGGCGCTCTCAGGGAGCCAGTCGATACCGGGGAGCGAGACATAGCGGCGCTCTGCCACCGCTTTTTCGTTTTCTTTTTTTTTTTTGCGGCTGGCGCGACGCTCGGCTTGCATCCCGATGAGCTCGCTCAGCCTCTGTCGTTTCTCCGCGGCGTTGTAACGTCGAGCACGCTGCTAATACCCCCCTCCCTGCCGCTCTCGATTTGACGTTCCGTCAAATTGCGGGGCTCGCGCAAACACTACTCTCGCGCGCGCACGGCTTGCTTTTCGGTCTCCCCCACTTTCTGTGATCCTCGCCCCACAAGTAGTGGCGACGACGACGGGAGAAGCGGCGTCTCACTAGGCCTATCTCGCGCATCGTCGGAGTCGTTTGCTCCGCTGTCAAGACGCGACGGGACTTCCCAAGTTTCGCTTTTGGTTGTCTTGTCTCTCGGCGCTGTAGAAGAGTCCAGGCCCGAGTTGATTGAGACGCGAGGACCGTCTTCCGTTCGCGCCTAAGTGACAAAGACCTTCTGCGGAGCAACCTTTTCTTTTTTTTTTTTTAATCCTGCCTTTATTGACACTTTTTCTCCGCACCGTGATCCTTCGGTTGCTAACCAAACCTGTTATTCACTCGAAAAGGTTGATGCGCTCTTTACGAACTACGTAACGAAAACTTTTCTCTTCTTCTTTTGCCTTCTTCCAATCGACGGTCGGCGTTTTTCCGCCGTTTCTGCACATTGTGGCCGCACTGCTTCTGCAGCAGGCTGGCGGTGTCGTGTTGTTTTCGTCTCACCGGCACGATTAAGCATTGCGTGCACTTTCACGATAGAGAGGGTAGCAGGGAAGCAAAATAACAGCTAAGTCGTGTTCGCTGCCGGTGGTGGACAGCGCGGAAGGGAACCGCATAAACGACGCGAATCGCCGTGAAGTCACGGCGAAGCGCTTTTTTATTAATGTTTTCGCTAATAGTGGCGATACCAAGTATCCGTGCTGCACGACAATTCGCCTCTCCGCGCGCTTACCTCGGGTTTTTTTTTTTTTTTTTTAACGCGGGAGTCACGAAAAACGGAATATCAGGCCGGAATTCACGAACCAACATTTCCTTATCGTTCGGTTTACTTACTGTACGTACACATAGAGAGGCAATCTTAGTTTTGCTCGGCGCACTATATTTATTCACATTACGCGCGCATTGGCGATGCAGGAACGATAAGGAAAATGAGCGATAATGATAAGGTATGTGAATGCGGGCCAAACCACCCTTATCTCTTGTTTTAAATGACGTTTCTGTACACTCAACGTTCGCTATCAGGGCTCGAAGGTGGTAACAGGGTAATCACTCCTGGCACTCGTATTGGATATCTACAATGCTTGTTTTTTTTTCACTGTGGGCAGATTTTTGTTTATCAAGCGCACAGAAGCCACCAAACTCGAGACAAGATTGAGGTTTGTTTGGAAATACTGGCCCCAAGATGTCCTTCCCTCGCTCGATCGCGTACTACGCTGGCGCATCTGACCGTCGTGTGGACTTTGATGGAAGCCCTCCGCTGCCGCTGCTCCTTGCTTGGTCGATATCTGCTCGTAGCTTCCTCGCGCGCCCTCCCTAATTTTATTGTTTCCTTATTTCTTCCTGTTTCTCCTCACTTCTCCCCGGCGCCTCTTGATTTCCTTTTTTGCAGCAGCAGCGCTCGTTTCACAAGCGCCGCTGTGCCTTCGGTGTTCGCGTCTCTTTTATCGCGGGGCTGTGACCGTACCGCGCTGTCTTTTCTCTTCTTGGTCTTTCTTTCACAACAGAGCGGCGGCTCCACGCTTGTGGCGCAATTTATTCGTTACCCCCGAAACAAAGCTCTGATTCTAGCTGACCTCTTTTTTCTTCTTCTTCAGCGTATCGGCTTCTCTATTGTCGTCTCACACCGTCACGCGTTGCGCTGTAGAATACGTGCGCGGACAGTAGGTACGAGGACCGTTTCGAATTTCGCGGCATTGATTTGGAAATTTCGCGGTGGCGCGAACTCGGCCGTCGGCCCCTTCGTACTTTCTTTTTGTGTGCGTGTGTGTTCATGGATCGCTGAAGCACCCCAAACTTCGCCGAAAAGATTGTGACACACGCGATGACGGCGCAGATATTCAGGGCGCGTCGCAGTGGACCGCCTGCCTGCGTTTGGTTTTGGTGAAACAGCGTGATGAAATGGGTGAAACGTTTCGCGAGTACTGTTTACTTATGAAAGGCGGGGTACTGGGACCCTTTCCCCTCTTGCTTTGTCAAAACACAAAGCAATAATTCCTGGCCTCCCAACTATTCTTAAGGCCATTTCCTCCTTACCCGAAATAGAAAAACGACTCCCATGTTGGGGTTACCACTTCAGCTTGTTTTCCCTACTGTGCACTGACAGCAGGAACGATTTTCAAGCTTTCCACTACATACCGGGGAATGCGAAAAGCAGCACCAGTAATTGCTGTGACAAGTGTAAAGTTGGCGCGCACAGAAAAGCAGCGATGCATGTGACAGGTGTTCAGACTGCAAAGGAGGACGCTTGCCTGTACGGAATCGACTGTTCTTCCTTTAGTTCCCCTTGCCACCGCACATAAGAAGCCCGTGGTGGGCAAGTGAGAAAAGTTGGTGATGCTTGCTTGCTGTTTTGTTTGCATGGCGAGTTTTTTTCTTTAAACTTTGTAAACAAAATGTTGCAGGCAAGGTTCACAAGTGTGAAGGGACGACGAACAATGCTGGCTGCCTGGACTACAGTAACTGCTTTCTAAATAAAATTTTTCACATTGCGATTTAAGAGCTCTTGGGTGTGATAGCTACTATGTCTCGGACTGATGTGTGGTTGTAGCTTATGTGCTGTTTTGTCCGACGTAAATAAGATGCAACTTCTTGGAGATGTCTTCCTGCCTGACGCAGTACTCGAGTTCCGTGAGCTTTGGCTGGAGTCGGTAGCAGAAACAACAATCACTTCTATGTGTGCGCTTATTTCTGTGTAATTGCACAGATGTTTGTTTGGTCAGATAATGGACTGTATGTTTACTTTGACACCAACTCACTGGGCCTCATTAATGCAGCATTTTCTTCTATCTTTTCTGTCTACATTTGATATTTCTGAACTTTTTACAGCGAAAAATGTTATGACATCACAGCTCGGGTCTCGCGCAGCGTCGTAGTTGTCCGCCACCTCAACCTGTGTCCATAACCGCATCGCAACAAATTGGAATAAACACCTTGTATCAATGTCACAGTGGGGCTTCAGCCTGGGTCTGCTAGGTGCCAAGCCAGTATTCTACCACTGAGCCACTGCCGGTGCTTTCGACTTGTTGGCAAACTTGCCTTAGGCAGGCTTGATGTCAGGAAAAGCAGTCGCGTTAATAGAACTTATAAACGTTTTAATAGAGTGAAAGAAGAACCGGTCGTCGCACAATGCGAATAGCGTAACGAGTGGGTCATTGAACGCTCCAGCCTATTACAAAAACTTGTTCTAGTTTTACTAATAACTGTGGCACATACCCGCTTCATTCATAATTCCTCATCGTCGTCAGCCAGTGCATGAACAATTAGCACGAAATTCAAGTGTTCAGCGGATACCACGCTTTTCAGGAAAATGGCGAAAAGTAGCATAGCAAATGCCAGCCTACTACCAAAAAATTTTTATTATTAATGCCGTAGTGGGTATCAAGCAAGTGTGCTTGTAGCAAGTGTGCTTGTACCCAATGAGTGTTTAGAACAGGCTCCGAAAGGCCGCTCTTCTAGTTTTCGCTGTGACTGTGCTGCGCCTTCCGCGCAGACCTGGCTTTTTGTTTTTAATGCAGGTCAGTTACAATTTTTAAACGATATTTAGGAAATTGATGTGGTGGCCCAGTTTAAGTTCAGTAAACACTCAGCTCAGCTCGAAAAAATAATTTAAAAAAAACAAGGATGCAAGTTTGTTGTATATTGAACTCGGTATCGCTGTTTCTTTGCTTTGAGTTACCCGTGATAATGACATTAAATATAAACTACTTACTATTAAATATATATACTATTAAATATATACTATTAATATATACTAATAATATATACTATAATATATACTATAAATATATACTATTAAATATATACTATATACTACAAGGTAATTCAGATATTACATGGCTGATTGGTGGATAGCTAGTC